CTGGAATTCCTTGAAATATGCAAAATCAACAGGACTCTAATAGCCTTAAGCAGGAACTTATTGGGGATGGGGCAAACAACTCTAGATGCCAACTTAAAGCCAATAGCACAAGTCGCCATCAAGTATGGGATCTATTAAGGAGATGCTCTGTCCCTGCAGTGAGATCATTTACAAGACTGGCTATGGATACCGCCTATGTTATGGAGCAACCATCATCAACCACCTCCTCTACATGGATGACATCAAGCTGTATGCCAGAAGTGAACGTGACATAGAATCACTGATCCACACCACCAGGATATACAGCAACAACATTCGAACGTCATTCGGAATGGGGAAGTGTAGTTGGATGATAACAAAGAGAGGGAACTGCACTACCAGAAGGCAACATCGCAGACACTGAGGACAGCTACAAGTACCTGGGAATCCCACAGACAAATGGCAATCACGAACAGGCCGCTAGGAAAGCTGCAACCACCAAGTGCCTGCAGAGGGTAAGGCAAGTCCTGAGGAGTAAACTGAATGGGAAGAACAAAATCCTGCTCATCAATTCCCACGCCCTGCTGGGGATCAGGCACCCTGCTGGGATAATAAGCTGGCCAAAGGAGGAGAAGCTAAAGATATCAAGATAAGGAAGCTTCTGACCATGCATAGAAGGGTTCACCCCAAATCCAGCACCCTGAAACTGTACGGTAAGGAGGAAGGCCGAGGACTGGTGTGTCAGAACCACAGTCCAGGATGAGACAATAAACATCTTGAAGTACATCAGGAAGATGGCCACAACTGACCGACAAAAACTGAATCCTCTTTACAAGCAAGAAGTTTGCCCAGCAGAATATTGTCGTTTAAGATGAACGACCCAAATAAACTGTAAAAGAGGCTTCTAGATTAAAAGGAAATCAATTCAATTTTAGCAGCAATGAAAGTCTGATTAGGAGAAATGAAAAGTATTGTGTGCATCCCACCACCTGCGACCCAGTTTTGAAGTCTTTACCCAAGTGACAAATAGCAGCCCCGTTTACCACGAACTGCAGAGGAGACACTGTTTTTGTTTACGTAACTCTCTTTATGTCTGCTCCAAATCCTCGAAATGCTCTTTTTTTCAAATAGTCCAGTTTAAGACAAGCTAAAGTGTTTTTGGACGAGTGTCTAAATGTGTTTTTAACCAGAAATTCAGACTGTTTCCTGGTGGGCTCTGAGTCTTTGTTTCTGTAAACTGCAGTCTGCTAGTGCATGCCACTGAGTATTAATGAAACATAATAAAAACATAATAACACAATAAAACACGGTCTATGAAAACTCAATCAGGTGTAAAAAGCATTTCAATTTTTAAAGGTCTAAAGAGTCAGAAATGTATCTGCAGAGGGGAACTGTTGACTCATGTGAATCATGAGACGGGTTTCCATAAGTCAGTGCTCCCATGATCACTGCAATGTGTTGTTTGCATTATGTGCACACACACGCACACACATAAACACACACACACATGCATACACAGAGCAAACGTACCCATCTGATCAGATTATCTGCATGATGTATGTCACAAACTTTACACAACATGTTTACAGCTCTGCAGTCCTTTTTCCATTTTTGTTTTTAGAAGGAATCATTCATTTTGGCACATTTTACCAAAATTACAGTGGCTGACTGTGTTCATTTACAATGAGACATTTTTAGAAATGGCGTCTTATAAGATGAAAAAAAATGTGGAAAAAATAAACCTGACTCCACTTTGTTTGTTTGTTTTGTTGTTTTCTTCTCTTCCTCTCTCCCTCTCTCTCTCTCTCTCTCTCTCTCTCATCACCCCTCCTTTGCTACATCTGTGTCTGAGTCTCCTTCCTCTTCCCTATTTCTTCTGCATCTGTTTTTCTCGCTCCATCAAAACAGTCAGCCAGAGACAGTGCTGGGGCTGAGGAAATGGATGGTGTGTCTATTTTTAGAAGCAGGGAAGGAGGGCAAACCAAAAGTAAGCGAGGGAGAGAGGGAGCAAGAGAGAGAGGGAGGAGGAGGATGAGGTGGAGGAGAGGGAGGGGGGATGTGAGGAGAAGATAAACCTGCATTCTGCCTCTGCCTCTGGTCAGAGACAGTTGAAGCTTCACAGCACAATTAACAAGCAGCAGCAGATGAAAACAGAGGATCGTAAATAAAATTGAGGAGACAAAAAAAAGAGAGAACGAGAGCGACGGATGCAGGCTGCTATTTAAAGCTGCACCAGGAGAAGAGACAAGAAAAGATTCGGTGGACTCAACAAAGATCATCCGTAAAGGTGAGTGTGAAGGCAAATTGAGCAGAAAACCTTTACATTATTCCTGAGAATGCATGACGAACACACACACAGAGTGCCTGTTTTGTGCTTCAGCCTCGAGCTGCCGCCGTGGAACCATTTTTAGCTGTTGTATACAGAAGGTGTGGTCTATATTTAGCAGTGGTTACACCTTGGAAGAAACTGGGAGAGGCTGGCATTTTGGTTTGGCTTGCGCTATTTTTGTCATGAGGTCAATACAAGCATACATTGTGGGCTACGCTCTGGGTTATAACAACTCGGCGCTCCACACTCTGAAACAGTTTGAGGCTTTACGTGTCTGAGATCCCACAAAACAGTCATCTGTGTGTGCAGCCTCTCACTGGGATTGTTTGTATATTGAACGGTCAACACACACAACTCCAGAGTAAGCGGCGCACGGTGCCTGAAATGAAGGAAAGGGAGAGGAGAGGCTCCTATGTTTACTTGGTTTTATCGATACAGCCAGCAGTTGTAGTCGGTTGTGTTTTGGGAGCTTCGGACAATGTGAGCAATGTCCAGATGCACATTATGTCATTAGAAAAACACATTAGACTGATGAGGTGATTAAACAAGAGGCTTTTCAAAAGAAACTGAGGAAAAATTGTTGCAAATACAATGCAACACAACAGTGTGTACGAATGAGAAATTAACTCCAGAAGTTATAAGTCAGTTCGTGAGATAATAGTGCACAGATTAATCTTTTTATTTGTATCGTGTGGAGACACATATTGCAAGTTTCGACATAAATGACACACACAAACAGGGCTCTCACTTTGTAAACTAGGAAGTAAGATTGCATACGTTGCATCTGACCCTATCAGGAATGTGTCACATCTATCAAAATATCCAGTTTTCCAAATGGTGATTATATTTTCCTAAAGGATTCTGCTTTTTTGAGACTTGGATGCAGTATTTCACATTACACAGTTTTTTTCCCCATCTAAATGAGACCTCTCCCGTCTTGTCTTTCTCTCAGCTATGCGGCCGCGGTCCAGACTGCTGTCCAAGAGGAGACTGACGCTGCCCACAATCAGAGAGGGCAGCGAGGAGACGGTTAGAGATTTGAACGAAGCCAACACGCTCCATAATTCTGGTCACTGCCAGGCTTTGTCATCGGAGGACTACCTCCTCTCCATCTGCCACCTGGCCCACCCCACTTTTCCCAGCCGGGATGTTTCCCCGGACACTTTCCACACACAGCAGCAGGACACTGCGCAGCAGAAGCTGAGGCCATCGTGGATTGAATACAACCCGAAAGAGGAGGCACGTGCTGCTGATGCGCAGCAGGCAGAGGGGAAAGAACTAAACAGACAGCTGAAGTTTGGCAACTCTGACCCTCTTGAGTATATTTATGGACACCAGAACAGCTTCTCTACCCTCTCAGGAGGTAGGAGGAGAGCATTTGTCGAGGGGAGGTTTATGAGGCAGCACGGCAGCGTATGGGAGAGCAGAGTGTGCGTGCGAGCCCACAGCATTGCCCTTGGTTCAAATCCAGATTTCCCACAACAACATGAGGGCAGTTGCTCTGAATTAAACAGCAAAACTGACACTTCAGTTCCAAACATCTCCCCAAAACACACCTTGGCCAGGTCGGAGGCCAGCATAGCTTGCAGAAAGGCAGAGGGAGAGAGGCTGAATCCAGCCATCAAACAGTCCCTCATCTCTCAGTGGATCTCTGACTGCAGGCTGGCATGGAGGGAGGCACGCACTCGAGCCTGTATGCTTCCTGCCATTGCTGAGGTGTAGCATGTAAATGGACAGTCAATGTAACATTCTCCAGTAAATTATTCTAATCTTTTGTGTCAGTGCATGAGACATTGACATTAGGAGACACATAGAAATACACATTTGAAAAGATACAGAGACAAGTAAAGACTACTACAATTGTCCATCTGTAACATTATATCAGTGTTAATATTCACTATTACAACCTTTCTGCTCTTAATGTATGCCAGTGATCATAACAAACCATGAAAATGAGCAATTCTGTAATGTCCTTTTTAATATCTTCCAGTGTTTGTAAATGACATGAAGAAATAAAGCAGTCTTTTGATACTCTCTCTCAGATCGTGTGAAACGTGCTTTTCCCCTCAGCTGCAGGCTTTATTTTCCTGCACACGGAGACCCTTCAGAAATGAACTCCACTCTTGGCTCTGCTGGTGCCAGGCGCCGAAGTTTCTATGGTAACTGTCATGGGATCCTGCACTGGTAAACACAAGTGTGGAGAGACACGGGCAGAGCAAAGATGGCACCGGTGAACCTCAACATGCAAGATGCTGGTTATTTATTGCTGCACTGGTACGACAGCAACAACGATGCATGCAGTAAGGTATAACTGGAAAAGGTGACGCTGAAGGACGCAATGCCACACTAATACATTTTCACATTCCAAAGCACAAATGATCTGCATGTAGAATAAAACGGTTCAATGAGGCGTGTGCAGAAAAAACTAAACAGGCCATGGCTGTTCTACTAAATAAGAGACACTAGAGGGCAGGCTTCTATCATTACTACTCAAGAAAACACTTTGTATAACTGATTCATTGGACATTTTATAACAGTAAATCTCCCGTAAGCCGTTCTTACTCTCTGTATGGTAAATAATTATTTTCAAAGACTATCAGTTTAGGGATTTAAGGGTCAAAGACAAAGCCATAACTGTACTAACAACCGAATGTTTTGGCCTTGAGTCCAAGGTTGGATCCAAAGAAGGCTGTATGCTTTCAAGGCCAGGGTGTTGATATTTAATACATACACCATCTGTAACTTAAGTTAAAAGGCGACTATAAAGTAGAATAATACGCCATTGTTTGAGGTCAGGGGCAGAGGGTCAGTTCCCCTAAACCAAGCAACCCCCCCCCCCCCCCCCCCCCCCCCCCCCCTTCATTAGTGTACTGCACTGTGCAAAAAGTCTCCAGCTACTCATTATTAACTCAAGAAGGTTATGTTTTTGGTTGTGTGCGCTCATGTCATCATTCTGCCTGTAACTAAACTTAACTAAACTCAAAAAGTTTTGAATGAAAGACTTTATAGGGGTGTAGATAGGAGTCATATTAACAATCCATTCAAACCTGGCTTACAACCACCAAGGTCTTCAAGGTCAGCTTAATAATTTATTGATCCAAAATTGAAAAAATGCCTTATAACTTAAAAATTTAGATTCTTACAAGACTGATGAGCTGTATAAGGATCTATAATAACATGTCTTATCTGACCTCTGACCTCTCCTTGAAGGTCAATAGACTGATCTAAGTGTAAAAGTAGTAATAATTCTATATAGAGCTACTTGAAACTATGTTTCTTATTTCACTGTTTGTATTGACAACATGTCAGCATATAGGGAATCATATTTGTGGATTCTAAATATCATGTTACTTTATTATGACTTTAATATGTACATTATAATAACAAGTTACAATTTAAACACAATAAAATACAATGTTCCTGCATAAGTATGTAGATATACTAACATTGTATGTATACTGCTTATACATGCTTAAAAAACAAATTAAATTTCTGATGAAAACATTTTTTTTCACTTGATGTTTATCATTAATATTCCAAATAAATTTTACTGAACATTTAATGAGTTCTATACCTGTACTATATCCATATAGATAAAAAAAAAATACAAAAAATAATGGTACTCAAACCTATGTCAAGTAAAGGCCTGCACTTTGCATTTGTTTTTGCTGAACTACAATCTGCTTAAAGCATCTTTAAAAAGAACAAAAAAACAAAATGAATGTATAGAAAATACAATAATGACGTAAATGAGGAGAGCGAGCTTGCCTGGCAGACGTCTGAGGGCGTCTTGTCTCCTTATACCGTATTTTCCTTCCAAGCTTTAAAGTGGTTTCGAGTCATATTTCTCAGGCTTCCTGAGGGTGTTTTAGAAGTTGTAGACCTTTGAAGCAGTGTGGCAATGTGATGTGTTTATAGACATAGAAGAGAACAAAAGGCAGAAGAGTTCTGAAGGTCCTAGTAATTAAAGAAATTAGAAGAAAGCTTTTCTGATAGTTCAGCCTGTGTTGAAGTTGATCGTAACAAATATTAATTTTCAAGCTCATTAGAATTGTAAAAACTCAGTTTTTGCCTTATATATTATATTTGCTATTTTCCTAACAAAACGTGTATGGAAACTAGTTGGCTCAAGACTTTTGCACAGTGCTGAAGAAAGTACTTTAAAACACATGTGTTTTTACATTATGTGTAAAAATGTAAAAACACATAATGAAAACGCTCCACAGAGCGTTTTTTCTTGTGTTGATCAATCGGGGTTACTAGAAAGTAGCAGCAGTGACTATGAGTACTGAATACGATTATTGTGACTGGAGGAAGTAAATCATTTTAGTTCTTCCGTACGCAATATTTATATGAGCAAAATAATGCCAAAAAAGTTGCTGATTGTAAGGTTATTTATTTCTCTGAAAGCAATGGCTTTTAAACCAAATATCAGATTTTTTTTATAGAGTTTGGGACTTACTGGTAGTATGGGAAACCTTATTTGCAGCAAGATTAGCATACACATTATTATTACTGTTGCCACTTCTTATTATTGCTTAAGTAAAAGAAGAAGAGATTTGTTGGGGGGAGAACCACAAGTACCCTGAGGATGAGATATGTTTTAATCAAATATATATTTGCTGTATATAATACTTAGTGTGTGTGTTAGATTTCTATGTTCAGTGTTGCACATGCAGTATCATGTACTTTCCCTGGTGTTGATACAACGTTATTATAATGTTATTATAACTGAAGAATTCTTTCAGCCAATAAAGGAAGAAAAAAAAAGACAAACACCATAAAAACCATAAAGAAAAGAAAAGATGTGTCAGCGTTAAGAGGGAGAAAGATGTGGTGGTTGCAGGAAAATATTCTTAGCTGCATTTCACACTTACCTCAACAGGAAGATGAGATCTATTTGCATCAAACTGACAGTTGACTACTAGTAAATTATTAATAATTGTTATTATTATTTAGATTTTTGGTGTATATTTCAGACCGTCCCTCAAAGGGTTGCTGATTTTAGTTTTCAAAATCATATTAAATTATTTTCTTCGTAGCAAGTGTTTCAGTAAAGATTTTCAACTGTCAAGACCCAGTGTGTGATTTTAGTGTTCCCTTAATTTCCCTTGTTTTTGAGCAGTATAAATATACCTTAGTAATTTACTAAGGTTTTGTTTTGTTTTTTAGGCACACTATGGTACCAGGTCAGCAGCCTGTTAGCCCTGCAACACACTGGTGATTTGTCCAGGATGTACCCCGCTTTTCACCCTATGATAACTGGGATAGCTCCCCCACCCACCCAACCACTGCGACCCTGATAAGGATAAGCCAAAGCGAATGGATGAATGGATGGACTAAGGTAACTCTTCCTTATCTAAACTGTTTTCTACTACATATTTCAACTATATAGTACCACTGATCCATAAACAATTAAAAAATAAGGACGCATCTTAACCATGTTGTGGAAAAAGTTCACCACACTTGGGAACCACACATACACATGTGAAACTTTTCACAGGATTCTTTGCGAGACTCGTGAAAAACTCCCCATGATTCAACAGCTCGTTGAACACGTTTAACAGCAACAAGTTGACACGGGTTTTCGGTATGACTTTTGAAAGATTCGTCTGTCACATTGCTGAGGAATTTCAATGCCCTCTCTTTACAGTGCTTCTTAAGTTCATTGAGGTTTGTCGGCATTTGTTCATGCACAGCTCTCTTGAGGCCTCTCCGAAGTATTTCAGTCAGGTTGAGGTCTAGCTTTTGCCTGGGCCATTGGAGCACTCCAATTCTTTTCTTTTTCAGTCTGCTTTTTGTTTTGTTTTTATCAAAATTAATTCATTATGCAAAATGTTTAAGAAATAAATGTCCATGTGTCTTTGCCTGTTCACACAAACATTCAGAATACAAGTTCATCTCTGTGAGAATTTTTAATTGTTATGCAAAAAGTTTTAATGTTCTCTTGTAATGTATCATATTACCACAAAATGTCAAAATGTTGTACCACCAGCCACAGAGCTGAGAAGGAGTGGGGGTGGGAGGGTTGGTATCCAGTGCTGTTTTGAGCATCATAGGCTTGTTGTGTGACCCAATTTCACCCAAGCTTTGCCTGTCAGACGGATGACCTCACATTTGACTCTATAAAACTTTAGCATACAAGGATTTCATGGTCAATTCAATCACTGCAAGATCCCTGTGGCTGCAGAACAAGCCCAAATCATCACCCCTCCACCACCGTGCCTGACAGCTGGTACGAGGTGTTTGTGCTGTTATGCGTTTGTTTTGTAGCAGACGTGGTGCTGTGCATTATCACCCAACGTCTGCACTTTGGTTTTATTGGTTTCATCTATCCAGATCCATCTATCCATTGTTCCAGAACTCTTGTTGTTTGTTCAGATGCTACTTGGCGAACTTTGGCCACGCTGCCGTGTGATTTTTAGAGAGAACAGTCTTTTCCAGGCAATCTTTCCAAACAAGCCGTACTTGTTCACTTTTTCTTAAATTATGCTGTCATTAACTTTTCTTTCTTATTTTCTTTGTTCTTTGAATCCAAACCTGAATGCTTCAGAGCAGCAAACTTTCAAAATGTCCGCTTTTATAGGTGTGCCTGCACTTGCTTATGATGAATGGCTTGAGTGCATCTTATTTCCTATGGAAGTGTCAAGTTGTACCATTGTGTACTTTCACCTGGCTACATAAACTCTTGTGAAAACTTTCGTTTACATCTTCTCAACCTTATGAGTTTAGATCACGATCTAAACAACAAAGCCTGAAGCAACGGCTTTTATAAAGTTGTAGTTTTTTAATTCAAAGCCTTTGAGTTGGAGTCTGCATGACTTATGTGCATAAAAAATTAGAAAATCCCTTTAAATTGTTTCCGCTTTCCTTTTCCACAACAAGAAATATTGTTTTCTACTAAGAAATATCACTTTTTAAATGAAATGAGAAGTGCAACCACACTGGGCTTGTCTAGAAAATTTGTACAGGAAGAGACTCTGCTGATGTTGCTAGTTCCTGTTGGTTTATTCCTATACGGGGTCACACAT